TTCCAAGTCAGAGGTTTATAAATGCAATCGGTTCCCGTTCCGGTACCGGTTCTTTTCGGTTTCGGTTCCAACCCCTCTATAATCTCTATAAGTATAAAAGTTGACACTGCGTCGTTTGCGCATGGCAATTTTTATTGTTTGTGATATGTTCCCTTTAATAGAATCATCTATGGTTCAAATTTCAAAGAAATGTCCATAAATTTGAAAATTTCCAAAGCGCAGACTGACATGCGGACGGAAAGATAAGGCTGCACACAGCCCACCCAATTTAAACACAACATTGAGGTAGGAAAAGATCTATAATTTTACAGTCCCATTGCAAAAATTTAAATAAATGAATAGTGCAAGAAGTGGATGACAAACTCTAAGGTGTAATAAGAAAAACTAAAAGTGGCGTTACCCGATGCCTCACTTTTTCATCTGAAAATCCAAGGTGGTGGTGAGCATGTGAAGTAAATCAGCGCGTGTAAAAGAATTTCAAACATGAATTAAATTGGAAAACGCTCCCTTATGCAGTCACGTATTCGAATTGAACGATATGAGAAATTCTGATGTACTCAATTTACTGTCAAAGCTATACCGTCCTTGCTATAAATCATACAATTACAAAGTTAGAATAATCAAATAACGTTGTGTATAAGCTAACCAGTTGCCTTAATCTTACGTATTAAATGTCACGATCCTTAATTACAAGTAAACTAATTTTGTACGATCTTGAGACTTCCCGACAGTTCCCCAACGCTCAAAGATGGATGATCTATTTCTACTTTACATGTATAAGTTCCCGTGCTCTGTGGAGTAACGGAACCAATCGTTACTTTGTTGCCGTTAAGTGATAGGTCCTTCTATAAAGTTAAGTTACTAGTAAAACATTAAGAGGCATTTAGTAATTAATTACTTTCACCACAACACCATCGACATCCGTAATTGAAACCGGATTGATGAGATTCGAATCGTACTTATAAAATTGCTTGCCATCCTTGAGCCATGTTATTGACACGATCGGAAACTCTCCATGGTCAACGTTGCACTCAAACGTAACGCTCTCTCCGGAATAAGAAAACGACGACATCTTCAAGTGGCTTCCTGTAACTATAATTAGGTTACTAATATATTAAAATGGATTACAGTTTTAGTTATTTTGGGCTTAGGGGGTCTTGCGAATTTGCATATTTTGTTTGCTTAGTCGGAATTTATGCAAACTTCGTTCGCTAAACGTTTTCAAAACACGTCAATCACACATTTACATAGATTACAATTAAGTTGTTCATTTAACTATGGATTCGCGTATACTCTAGTTTCTAGGTACAAAATAGCCGAAAACATATCACGTACACTGTTAAATCTTAAATTCATTTAAAATTAACAATCTTCAATGTTTAGCATTAGTTTATACAATGCAATATAGGCGTAGGTATCTTAAAAATTCTACCAATTCATTTCGCGCTAGGCTCGAAGCTCTCGACCCGCATTGTATTGCTCGTGTCAATTCCCTAAGTCACTAAGATATTTGCGCCCAATTGAGAGCACGTTCTGAGTTGCTTTTATTACTTTTTCTGCAAACAATATTCTAGAATAGTGTACATTTACGGTCGAATCCGTCATGATTAGACCATTATGTTATAAACCAGCAAATGATTTTCATTGTGACGCCATTGATTTCCTGCAGAAATTGCGAGACGATATTTATGTCGTGAAAATCGTTTACAATGGATCTTCCATTTAGAAGATTGAAACATCTGGGCCGGCCATGTTAAAGCAAGCATTAGTGTGTCCTTCATTAAAAACATAGGCGCATACGGTAGGCTTTTAATAATCAAAATTTAAAAGGTTCTCGTGGAACGTGTTCAAATGAATGACTATTAATTGAATGGAAAACCTGACCTCATTTTAAACCCGACGGTGAATAAAACATACGCTTCGAAATAGAGAAATGATTAAATTTTAAGCAAGCACGATATGCATTAATTCGTCGAAAGTAATTTGTCGAAGAGTGGGCGTAATGTGTTGGGGGTTCATTCAAATATTGGAATGGCAAAAGGGATCCAATAAGTTGAATATTACCCGAGTTAATCACGTTTTTATACATTACACCAAGACGAATACGTTTGAATATGTCTTTGCATTAACCATCTTCATCTTAAACAGACAGTATCTAGTTTTTAAAATTCAAAATTTAAAATTCAATAATACCAGTAACTGATATCTGAAAATACTTTTAAACGATCTATTTTAGAAATTCCTACTACTATTTAATACCTTACAGTAACATGTAAACCATTGGTATTGTACGATTTCTATACCCATAAATTCTCGTAATACTATAGATCATGCATACAGAGAATTCGGCCATTCGACAAAAAAACAATATAAGAGAATGGATATTTTATTTTGTAGTGAAAGCGGGAGGACAGTCAAAGACACACGATCGAAGAGAGTGCAATATTGTTTGGCTCAGTTCGAATCTCATAGTACTTCCAAGCCATTTATTTTCATTTAACGATAATTAATTGAATTAAATACACAATAATTTCCACGTAGCTTTTATAAAGTTCACAAAACTTGCGTGTGGTCTAATTGTTTCCAATGAAATTGATAAATATAGCTACTGGAGGCGCAATTTGAGGACAAGACTTAATTAAAGTTAAGGTTAACGCAGTTGTGCTTTATTATTAATTATTAATATTTACCCTTTGCTAAAATACGTGTCCAGGTAACGTCAAATATTTGTAATTGGTAGTGAGTTTGCCGAAATATGCAAGTAACTAACGTAACCGATATTAAATTTAGCTGAAAGGATTAATCAATTCCTTTTGGTCGCCTCTTTTTGATTTTACTTTATATTTTATCATTTCATGAGCATAAATTGTGCTATTTTGGAGAAATTTGTTCTGGTTTAGGATAGTTGAAAAAGTTTACTGCGGCTGTCAGTGAGGTCAGAAGGGCGCTCATCTTGTGTGCCGTATCCATAATTTTCTGTACGTACTATCCCGTCGATTCACAATCCATCAAGCCAATTGAATTAAACTGTGGATACAGAGCGATTCCCTGCATCGAACTACTATATTTGGACGTAGGTACTGCACAAACAAAGAATTATTAACTTAATATTCGTTTTCCTCGCTTCTTTCGCCGTTTCAGCTTCGTGGGAGCTGATGCATAAATTTTTTTAATTTAAAAAATTTGGCTTGAAGGTGACTGATGACATTTTGAGATTCTACAACGAGATACGTAAAAATTTTTTGCAATGTCTGTTCAGAGTGCTCAATTTACTTGAAATTGATCA